TTGTCGGTGTGGTGGCCCCCCAGAAGCCTGCGCTCTGGATGAAACGGCAACCCCTCGGTTTGCAGGCCAGCCCTGACGAGCTCATTCAGCACGAGTTCGGGCCTGCACACGAGGTCCTCGTGCCGCACGACGAGGACGCGATGGGTTGGAGACGCCGGGCTGCCCACGCCAGTACCGTGGAGCACTGCGGCCATGTAGTGGCACCACAAGTCGAACGCATCCTCGAACTCTGGATCGTAATCGACGCGGCCTTTCGCCCAGGCGGGCCAGCGGACGTGCACAGGTTCGTCTCTCGGCCCCCGCAAGAGCCAACTCACGTCCCCCATCCTCCGAGCCCGCTTCGTGCCGCTGGCAGAGTTCGGCATCAGTTCGTAGGCGCCCTTCGACATCGCCCTGATCCACCTGGGGGAGGGGGATTGCGAGAGCAGCATGGCATGATAGTTTGGGGGAAGTGAGAAGACGGGAGGGCAGGCAGGCTGATACCTCAAAAGCTGGCGCGCTTCTGCTGCACCATTGGCCCGAAAGACCCGCCGGCCGCCTGGTCGGCTCGCGCGTGCACACCAGAACCACCACTGGGCGGCCCTGCTCATCCTCTGGCGGAAACTCCAACGGCGTGAGGAGCAGGTCGTGCTTCCACACGTGGCGGCCGTTGAAGGAGACGCACCCGTCCCACCTGCTCTTGCGCACCTCGACGTCGAAGTGCCGCCCCATGTAACTGTGGAGGGCGTGCGTCCCCGTTTTCCAGAGCCCCTGCACGACAACGCACGGCCGCTGGTACTTGCCGCCTGCATTGAGCTGCAGGTGGTCGTCCTGCATGCGACAGTACCCCACGGGCGCGCCCACCACAGGTACAGGCAGCACAACGTGGATGGACACCTCCTCGAAGTGGAGCGGCCCCCCTGGGCTCCCGCGCGGCACCTGTGACTGAGAGGGGGGGCCAGGCGAGGACTCTCCCTTGGTCTTCCCGTGGCCTTCCTGACCCCCATCATGCCTGATTCCAGTATAACCTCCCCAACCCCCTCCCCTTGGGAATGGGTCGATTTCCACGACGACCAGAGTCGAACGGGGTGGAGGTGTGGTCGGAATCGATCAGGCGGAATCTATTGGAGCCAATTGGAATCGGAATCGACCGCGCTGGGGATCGGATCGAACGCGGGCCCGACGGGAATCGCTCGGCACTCGGGCTCCTCGAAGAAGCCCCGTCAGACGCGTTCGGAAGCGGACTCAGAATCGAGCGGACTCGATAGAAATCGAAATCGGAAACGTCAAAAATCAGACTCGGCTTCGTCGCCCTCGAATTTTGGCCCCGTGTCCGCGTAGTCCACGGCGACGGCGCCCGCCCCCGCGCCGTCGGGCACGGGGGGCGGCGCCGACGCATCGGCAGGCGGCGCCAGCGGCGGCGGCGGTGGAAGCCCAGCCGCTACGACCTCCGCGGTCGCGAAGGCTCTGGCAGCTCTGCGGCGGGCCTGTCCTGCAACGGCGCGCGCTGCAGCGCCACTCGTTCTCTGGTGCGCAGTCTCCCAGTCGGCCGCAAGCGGCGCGAAGGCCTCGGCCTCGGCGCTGTCTCGGACGACGCGCCTCTTCGACGCAGGCTCGGGCGGGCCCGCCGGACTGTCCACCTCCGTGTCCGCCTCCGTGTCGGAGCCCTCCACCCCGAGCGGCGCCGCAGCAGGCGGCCCTGACGACGAAGCAGCAGCCCCGGCGCGCGCGGCAGCACCAGACTGGGCCGCGATCGTCGCGCTGGGGATTTGGCCGCCGACAGCGCCAGGCGGCCCCGTCGACATCTCCTGGCCAGCGTCGGGGGCGGGCGGCAGCGCGAGCAACGGCGTCGGAGGCGCGTGCTCGCGCGACGGCGGCGCCCCGCACTCCGACCAGGGCCCGAGGAGAAGCTGCGGGGCGGCCGACTCGCCGTGGATCCACGGCTCAGAGGTGCTGAACACCAGGAGAGTGCGCAAGTCGTCGGCCGCGGTGTCGGGCACGCCCAAAGGCGACCAAGGGTAAGGCTGCATCGGCGTCGGGGGCCCCCATCGGGGGGGCGCGGCGCCCAAGGAGAACCTCGATCCGCTCGTTGATGGCGGAAAGAAGCAGTGCTCGGCCAGCGATGGGAAACCGCCCCTGCTCCTCCGCGCGCGGCGGCGCGCGGCTCGCCAGCTCCAGCTCCATGGACTGCTCGGCCTCGGACGGTCCAGGCGTGGGCGGCTCCTCTGGCAGCGGCGGGCCCGGCTGCTCTGGGGGCCCCTGGCGCACGCCCCCGAACCAGTGCTTCAGCCGCCACTTCACCTGCGAGTCGGCGGGGGGGGGACATGAAGGAGAGAGAAGGGCGTGACAGGAACATGGCGGGCCCGATTTGCAAACTATGCCGATTCACCTTGCTCTCCCGATTCTTGCCGCCCCGCTTGTGCCTCGCCGAAGCGAAACCCTTGGCTTCCCACGGCGGAACGCTCTGGGAGGGGCCGGCGCGCTCGGCTGCACCATGGCCCCCCCCCTCGTCGCGCCATGGGGCCGCGGCGTGCGCCTCCGCCTCCGCCTCCGCGGCAGCGGCCCTGCTGCTCGAGGCGGAGGGCCACCGCCAGGCGCTCCGCCAACCGCTGTCGGAGGCCCAGGCGGAGGACCGCCAGTCGCCGTCGGAAGACCAGCCCCGCTCCACCAACACCAAACAAGGAAATGGGACGTCTGACAGGTGGCAGCGGCAAACGGGAGATGCGAACGCGCAAGCGCGGCAAAAACTTGATACAGATGACGAGAAAAAACGCAGCAGAAAGGAGCGGAGGAAAACGAATGCAAGGAAGCATGCTACACCCTTTTCCCAGTTCCTCATTTTAATACTCTTCCTCTTCGTTCCCTCTACTACATCCGCATCCTACTCCTCATAGTCGTAATCTCCTACCTCCCCAACCGCCGCATACTCTCCTTCCGACTCTCACGCCTCATCTCGAAGTCCCAGACCAGCCCGATGCCGTTCACTCCACGGTTACACCTCCTCCTCATCACATACTCCTCCTCCTCCTTCCTGCCTACTTCCTCCGTCCTAATCCACCCTTTCCCTCCTCCTCCTACTCCTCCTCCTCCTCCCTACTCCCTCCCTCCTCCTCCTTCCTCCCTTCCTTTCCCCCCTCCTCCCCCCCCCTTCCTACTCCTCCTCCTCGTCCTCCTCCTTCTCCTCTTCCTCCTCCTCCTCCTCCCCCTCCTCTTTCCCTGGGCGCTGGTGGACCCTGCCACTGCCACTGGGACCTTCACCGGAGCTCCCTCATTATGGGGCCACGGAGCGTGCGAGAGATGCGCCGGAATTGACCTGCGGAGAGCGGCCGCAAGGATGGGAGGAGGGAGGGGGAGAGGGGCCCGATACACTCATAAACCCAGATATTTTGAACAAAAACAAGCAACAAAAAAACACATAAATTCAAACTATTAATTAATAAATGGAATAAATTTTAAAAAATGAATTTCCAATGAAAACCCAAATAAACAATGTAAAATCTGAATAAACAATAGAAAATCATAATTTTTGAATTTCCGGTTAAAAATCTCACTGGCGAATAGATTTCCTTCCCTACAGGATCCTTGAATCATCCTAACGCGGGGCGGGGGGGCTGCTGGGCCTGCGTCGCGTCGCTCACATTCGGGGCGGCGGGGCGGGGGCTCGCGGGCCACACGTCTGGCCGACGATCGCGCGGCCACTGCGCCCCAGACAAGATTCCCTCAGCTCGCGCTTCGGCCAAAGACTCCCCCAAAATCGGTTTCGGGATGCCGTGCGACCCTGGCTGCATCACGGGGCCCTGGTGCTCCTGGGATTTGCTCTCGTTCGGCTCCTGCGGCTCCTCCTCGGCCCCCTTACCCCCGCCCTCCATCTCCTCGGGCTCCGCGCCGCCCCCCTCGGGATTGACCTTCTCCTCGGGCTCGCTGGCGTGCTCGACCCCCTTGGCATGCACCGCTGGATTGGGATCAGCAGTCGCATAATCAGCTGCAGACGCGCTCGACACAGGCATCGTCTCAGGGCTCGACTCGATGGCGATCGTGTCCGCCATGGCCCGAGGGAAGTTCGGGCAAAGAGGCAACTCGCTAGGTAGGATCTCGCGAACCCTCGAAGCGAAACATTAACGGACAAGGTGCCTTAAAACACGCGAGCGCCACGTTTCGTTTTCTTCCGAGTGCCCCTGGGCCCCTGGGCTATAGGCCCCACGTGGCCTCCCCCGACGTTTGATTGGCAAAGGGGGCGGGGGCAGGGGGGGCGGGGATAGCGAGGAGGAGGGGGCGGCGGATGAGGACTACGAACGTTCGCCGTTGCACGGAGGACGGAGAGAGAGAGGGTGAGATCGGAGGTCGGGACACACAGGCGCACCTCCTGACCCACCTCCTCCCCGTCCTTCGGGAAGCGACCGTCTCACCTCCTCGCCTCCTGGCCCACCTCCTGGCCCTCCTGACCCACCTCCTGACCCGCCTCCTGGCACTGGAGCTTGACCGCCTGTTAGCGAAGAGGGGCTAGATCTGGAATCCCGCTCGCCCCACTTGCCCCGCTTGCTCCACTTGCCCCGCTCGGCCCACTCCCTCGAGAGATCGCCCGCTCGCCCCACTCGCCCGAGCGGGGCAAGCGGGGCAAGTGGGCCAAGCGGGGCAAGTGGGGCAAGTGGGGAAGTGAGGCAAGTCGGCAAGTGGGTCGCGCCCCATCTGCATGTGCAATGTCCTCGCGTGTCTCTCCCTCCTCTTCCACCACCTCCTTATCCTCCTCCTCGCCTTCCCCTAGCCCACCCCCTGTCAGACCTACAACGTTTCTCCCGGCGGGCAGCTTGCGGGTCCGACATCGGCGACGCAGGGGGGATCCCTGCCGAGCGGGGAGAACTCTCCTGCGCCGTCGCCCTCCTCTTCGGAGAGATGGCTGGAGCGGTGGCAGCCGCGGGGCGCTTGCCCGCGGCTTTGGGCCTGGGCGTGTCGGGCGAGCAGGCCTCCTCTGGCGCGGCCTCTGCCGCCGGCGCCTCGGCCTCGAGGTCGCCCATCGTGGCCTGCTCGGGGCCTGCAGGCGTCGCGGCTGCAGGCCGCTTGAGCGTCGGCTGCGTCGACGCTGCAGGCCGCTTGAGCACGGGCGCCACTGCCGCACCATCACCGCGGATGACATGGAAGAACGCGCCCTTCTCGGCCTTGACCTGGAGCTTGCTGACGGCGCCCTGCGCGAACTTCGACATCGAGCCCACGAAGAAGTCCTTCGCCTTGGTGGCCTGGGCGGCGTCGAGGCCCTTCAGCACCAGCGAGCAGAGCGATCCGTCATCCGTGGTGCCCTTGGCGCTCATGCGCAGGAACCCGATGCCTCGCCCCACCTCCATCGTGATGCGAGCCGTGCCGCCGCCATCGATGTCGATCTCAGCGACCCTCCCTGTGAGAATTCCGTACTCCGCAA